TGGCGCACTGCTTCACTATGAATGTAGGCCGCACCCCCTAGCGGCAGAAGCTCGTACTACATCCGGTTCGCCCTCTATTGACACAATCTTGAAACTTTCCGATCGCACCTCGTACTGACTGACCTATCCCGGCTCATACAAACTGTCAGTAATTACTTATTAAATTAATTCATTAACTTTGTTTGTTGAGTAATTTTATATATGCCTGCATTACACTGGTATTTTGTAATAAACTTTATTTTGTGCATCCAAGTCATTGATTAATGCAGTCCATTTTCAAATTTTAATTTAGAAATTGCCTTGACAAACTAGCTTTCCTTGCAATAATATATACATAAATTGTACTTCTCTTGTCTGGTTTTAAGATGGGGATGAACCATTACTAAGTGGTACTGGTGAAGTATCAAAAGATTGTTCAGAAATGGAGTTAGAATCTTGGGCAGAAGCACTTGCTCGCTGGACAAGCACCAAGCAGCGGCCACGGCAGTTAGCATCTCTTGTACGGGGTGGCATTCCAGAAGCTTTACGTGGAGAGGTTTGGCAGCGTCTTGCAGGTTGTGAAAATGATACAACGATGATGGATACCTACAGAATTCTCATTACAAAGGTATGCTTATTTTGTTAGAGTTCATCAGTTCTGACAAGAGCAACGCTGTGTTTTATCTACTTTTGGCTTAGATATATGGACTGCTGTAATAATAAAGAATTAACAGCATTTCCTGCTATGTGATTATCAATATTCTATGGTTAACCCTATGAAGCCAAATCATATCTAAATAATACTTAAAAGACTCATTCCCTACTGCAACTCATCAATTGGCTTGTGTTGCTTAAGTAAATAATTATTGTTTATTTATTGATTGTAAAACCAGGTGGTACATGTAGGTGCCACTGGAGTTTAAAGGATTAAGAATACAGAACACAAATTTAGGAGCTCCTGGTTTTTATACATAATATTACATAAATTATTTGTGATTTTCTGGAACTTCCCCCCCCCCCCTTTTCTAAAGTTTTAAAATTATGTATTACAAAATACAATAAGTAGATATGATGCAGCACATGAATTTCTACATGTGCAAGCTTCTAATTTAGGAATTGTTGAATTAAAAGAAATGTATTTGCTTATTACTTCCTTTCTAAAAGCTATAAGATTCTGTGATACACACTTTATAAAATCCTTTAACTAGATTTTGTGGAGTGTTTTAATGGTTTCTAAATATGAAAACTTCAATTTTAGAAATAGTTGCAGAAATCAAAGCAGCATTTATTTTTGGTACAGGACAGTACTTGTGAGACTGTAATCCAGCGAGACATTAACCGCACATTTCCAGCACATGATTTCTTCAAGGAAGCTGGTGGCTTGGGCCAAGACTCACTGTATCGCATTTCAAAGGCTTATGCTGTTCATGATTCAGAAGTGGGCTACTGCCAAGGACTCAGTTTCTTAGCTGCAACTTTACTTTTACATGTAAGTACAGTGATTATTAAACATTATCACCATATATCAACAGTGTTATATAAACTTATTTCAGATGTCATTAGAATTACAAATTAATTATGAAGATGCAGCAGTCCTACATAAAATAAGATCGAAAAAGATGTTTGTGTACTTATGCACTATATCATGAAGGCTTGTGTTGATGAAAGCTCTACTTTTTCTTACCTCCAACACTAGATGGGAGTGAGTGGTGAGCTCTTTGGGTACTTTACCCCGCATTTGGCTAGGAGTAAAGAGAAAAGTCATACACCCTATTGGGGATTGAACCCTCATAGCCCAGCTCTTAGTTGGACACTTTATGGATTTAGCTAGTCCAGCTGTGTAACATGGCTAGGGCTGCTAGTGACATGTAGAGTTTTCTTGTTTGCTGTTAAAATGTAATGAACCCCTTTCTTAGAAACATTTGAACCTATGATGTTTCGTTTGGAATGTAACTTACTGACAACATATGTGCCTAAAACACCATTGTAGCAAAAATTAACTAAAAATGTACACCATTATATATATATTGCTAAGTATGGCAATGTTACAATTTTTAAGATTTCCATCTTCTGGGTTGTTGCGCTGTGTAGTCTGGTTGATGCCAACCAACGTTTCAGAGGTCATACTGCCTGCAACATCAGGGTGATGACGGAGGCAGTATGACCTCTGAAACGTTGGTTGGCATCAACCAGACTACACAGCGCAACAACCCAGAAGACGGAAATCTTCATACTCACCGCTGTGAGAACCTCAAGTCTTACAATTTTTAGTATTTAGTTTTATGAAAAGGAAGTTTAGATGCACATGGTGTGGTTTTAAAGCATTGCTGTTTATTAGTAGTGTATACTAGACACATAAAACAAACACAGAATGAATGGCAAACAGTAGTAATTTACTATGGTTCATATGAATTATTTGCGTGGCTCTAGAGTGGTGGAATGAAGGCCACACATCTGGTTTTAAGTATTGTCACATAGCCATTCATTTGCTGTGTTGCCTGTGCAAACAATGAGACAGTGCATGTTATGGCTGACTATATTTTAACCCATAATTTATGTGCGTGATCTTGTTTGTTATACCAGATTACTGACATGTGCCATCTTTGAACTTTATATAGTGCCAGCTCACTATATAGACATTGTACATGAATGGCTAAATGAACATTTTCTGGAGCAGTGGATTGGAGGAGGAATTTATAAAACCTGCCTGCCTCAATCTCTGCTAAACCTTTCCTCTTTGAAGCTATTAAAGTGAATGGTATACACATTTAACTCTGTGACTGCTGTTTGAGGCAAAAAATCGGAGATACAGGTGAGTCTGTAACTCCAAATTGGCAGTAATTGAAATATCTGACATATGTAGAGCAACAAATGAGGCTTACATTGAAATTCACTAGTTATGTAGGTGAACTGCCTGTGTCTTTCATTTCTTGTTCCTAGCTTACAGTGTAAGGCTACAGCAGTGCTTTAAACCCACCTCACACATTAACTGGTGCACTGTATATGTGTGTATTATATGTACTTGTTTACTTTCTAAGAAGATGAATGTATATTTACTTTGAAAATACACACTTCAAGTTCACATACTTTGTACACTACTTTTCAGATGCCAGAAGAGCAAGCATTTTGCATACTGGTGAAATTAATGTATGATTATGGTTTGCGGGACCTGTATAAAGATGGCTTTGAAAACTTATACATGCGACTCTACCAGTTAAATAGGCTGATGGAGGTATGGATTGAAATAATTAATCCTTTTAAGTTTTCATAAAGTATAATCAGTTCTGGATTCCAAACTTGCCTAAACGTTTTCTCGTATAACTAGTCTTCCCAAATTTCTGATCTAAGACATGTTAAGAATTTTAAAAATGATGGCTTTTGTTCAGAAGAATTTTAGAAAATTACTGAGAAATCTGAGTGAGGAGATCTACCCAGAAGTGGTTAAAGTAATGTCAAGAACTTTTTCTTATTGTGAACTACATAGCCTAGATCTTTCAGTTGGGTCTATTTGAAAGAGCTAACCTCAGTCAGCTCGGTAGCTCTTAGAAGCTA